TTTTTTTTTTTTTTCATTTGATCATTGTCTGCGATTTCCGAGTTGTATTTCCTGGAATTTTGTGAGATTTTTACTTATTTATCTCCATTATTTGAATGGTGCAAAGCACTTAAATCGTTCTCCCTGATTCATGAAATACTATACTATATTTTATAAATGTATCAATTGTTATGAGTGAACATGTATCATAATGAGCATGTACTACATGTATTAATAAAATGATAAATGTATAACAATATCGTAGTCACAGACTTTGAACAATTTACCGATGCAATATTTTTTTGCAGATTTCAAAACTCTTATTAATACAACGTTATACTTAGAACTGGTTGGCTCAGTATCAGAAGTTTAAAACTATCAACATTGACAAATTACATTCGAAAGCAGTCTTTTTTTTATTTTTCTAAGGAAACACACCAAATTGTTTCATGCCTGTGCAAACTTGAAGCTATGTGAAAATTATTTGTTAGCGAACAGTATCGTTACCAATAAAAATTGGACTCACACAGTGAATGTGTGAGACGCAGAGTAATTAAACGATTGATACTTTATTCCTAATTTATTAATCTCATTTGCATTCTATCAAAGATAAGCTTGCAATTGATTATTTGAATTCACTCTGAAATGCTTCTGTAGATTTAATCGATATATATCAGAAGCTCAAATAATAATATTCAAAGGCAGTTATTCAACATAATTGCATCACTTTCGTCGCAATACTGTGCAAAATAGCTGTCGATAGGATAGATTCACTTTTTGCCATCGAGAAATACAAATGGCGCTCTAATGAATCGCATGAAAGCATTTCCAACGAGAATCCGATTATCTTTTCGCCCCCGGAACGAATATTCTATGGAACCAGACGAAATCGTAATTCGTTGCAATTTCACCTTCCCACCAGTGGCCTTTAAATGAATGTTACACCTCGGATCGTGCCGGCTAAGTGAACAATACCTGATTCAACGAACGACATAAACATCTCCGACAGAATGGCGTCGTTCAATGAAACGAACGTTGAAAATGTAACAAAAGGTCACTCTTCGGCGCACGCTATTTTACACGCTGGCTTTCGTGTTTCGTCCCATTCACATATAAATCAGGCATGGAACTCTTTCGTCATTCGCTGATAATCAGTCAGTTATTTACAAAGGTAATCGAAACCTTAATTACGACAGCGAACAAAGAGGCTCGACGAATCTTTTGTTGAGGATATAAAGCAAACGTGTTGACTAGGGGTGAATTTATAGTGAAACAACAATTATAGATTTCGTTCATTGTTCGGTGACAGTAAAGTATACAGGACGTAGATATTTTGCATAGTTAATGTCTATGTAAAATTAAAACAATTCATTTGCTTGTAAAGATAAGTATTAATGTATAAAAAAAAAAAGAGTATACGTTAAAAACATTTTGTATGATCAATGTTAGTCCAAAGGACTTCTCAAAATTACAAATACTTTTCAATGAGAAAAATCCATTAATCCAGTTTTGTTCTATAATGTTCGACTATACGCATCGAATATATAGCAATGAACAAAAGGAAGTTTGAAATGATAAAATAATATAAAAACATATAGAACACATTTTTATCGAATTGTAACTACATAATTATACTTGACGCAAGAGCAATAAATAAATATAAATCATTCTATTAGTGTGATAAAGAATATAATATTTAGCAGTTCATTGTTTCTCTGTAATAAACTTTATACAAGTAATTAATTAAATGCAATCAAAACTATGTTATTTCCTGGAGAAACCAATTATATTCAGGAAAGATAAAATTAGCTCAGAAAACTTGTTATTCAACATGAGCGACGTAGGTATAATTATATTATATTATATTATATTAAATAACAATAATATTAAAAGTAATTCAATTATAATTCAATTAATTATATAAATAATAATATAAATAATTCATTTGGAATTTGGCAATGGTATATCAGCAGAATGCATCGGTATAAAAAATAAAAGTCTACATGGATGTATAACTTTTATATTAGACCACGTTTCTTTGAGGCCCATGAAGAGGACATGAACCGTCACGTGAAATTAAAGCAGCAACGACTCTCGAAAATGTTTATCGCTCCAGGGGCGAACAATAGCGGCCGACGAAAATTAATTCGACACTGGCACCCGACATCCCGTTTCATCCTGTTCTCCGTTCGATCGGTGGGTTGCTGGCTCGTACAAATACGCGGGAGAGAGCGCGTCGCCGAACGGGGACAACAATGAATCCCAATAAACGGGGCAATTTTACGGTAACACGGAGAAAAACAGAGGAGAGAGGGGGAGGAGGACACGAGAGCAGCCGCGCTGGTAATTCTCGTAATGGCGTAACGTGCTCCGAGGGGGATTGGATTCACTTTGCTCTAATGCGCACTGTCTACCGCGGCAATGTGTGTAGTGTGCAGTGCACGAAAATAATAACACGGCTACCGAATTTTATCGCACGCTAAAGTCAACCAGGTTGCGATTAATAACGCGTTTTCGCAACTGTTGCGGATGGAGGATATATAACTGCCAGAGAATTCTACCAAGACAGGCTGGAAGCAAGAAACGCTTTTGATTTTCGCATCTGGTATCTCCGCGGATAAGCT